TGATGACTGCTGTTGTCGTTGTGTCCTTAGGCAAGACACTTAACCCAGCTTTGCCTGAAGCTCCCGCTTGAAAGATCAGGGTTCCTGTGGACTCACCACCTGCAGGAGGATCAGTGAGGGGCTGGTGCTCTGTGTACTGGGTGCAGCTCTGACTGCCACCCCCCGGACCCAGAAATGGATTAAGGGGAAGAAAATGGATGGATGGATGGATGAAACAAAAAACAAAGAAGCTTGTAAACCGCATACGTTCAGCTCTTACATCATCAAGATTGCTCCATAAACGTTGGCTTCTATGTATTCTCGTCCATTTTCCCAGAAGCTCCAGCTGAACCTGGAGTCTGGCTTTTGTTTACATCTGTTTGAGATCACGAAGAGGGCTGCGTTTCCTTTTGGCGAGAAAACTGTTCTGTTTACAGTTTACTACAGCGGTCTAGACTCTGTTGAAGAGCTTGCAAGAAGCTGGAGCAGGGAGTTGCATTTAGCATCCGTTTGTTAATAGACAGCAGCTCAACCATTGATGTCTATCTGTATGTTCTCATGGACTGCTCAGGAGTAAAGGCGCTGTATAGTCTTGTTTCCTCCAACCCTATAAGGCTTTACTCTACTCTTCTATACCCTACTCTACCCTACCCAACCCAACGCTACCCTGCCCTACTCAACCCTACCCAAGCCCGCCCTACCCTACATTACCCCACTCTAGTCTACTCTACACTATTCTTCTCTACTCTACTCTTTGTGTTGCCACAGGCCCTGTTTAACCGGTACCAGGTCCTTATTTAGTCCCTCTTGGCCCTGGTCTTTGACACAAATATCATTAGATGAGCAGTCGCTGGACTGATCCGAGGGTAAACAGGTCTGAAACCTGCTCCCATTAGTATTGCCGGCTGTGGGTCCTTGGGCAAGACACTTTCACTGCCTTGCCCCCAGTATCATTTTGTTCTGAAAAGGAAAAATCCAGTGCTTATCTGTAGTGTAGCTGTCCCAAATTCTTGAATACATTCAAAATAATATGATGTCCTCATGTGAACCCAGAATGGACTAAGCCTGATGTCCACGAAGTAGATGCAGAACTAGGGTTTCCTGCTGCAGTCCCAGGAGCTGCAGCTGTCACTGTTACGCCATTGCGGGAATGCTGTTAAAATGATTGATCTGTGTGAGAACATGAGACCCTCAGATGTTCAGAGCTTACATCTGGATCAACAGCTGGACATGCACACTGTCCACTCCAACACGATTCCCAACACTTCCTGTTACATTAGCACACTGTAAAAGCAGCTGAGTTGTTTTGATGGAATCTTATTATAACTCACAGATTGACTTGTATGTGTAGAAGCATTACCTTTATAGATGCGTTGTGCTGAAAGCAATCAAACAACTGTGGAACTGTTTCTGACTCAAAGTACTGATTTATGTTTGAGTCTTTTTCTACTGTTTTTTTGAATCTGTGATGTGTGGCTGGCTGCTTCAGCACCTGTGCTGTGGCATTTATAATCAAAGAGGAAAAATGTCACTGATGTCATGCAGGAAAAGCGTCCATGGATCGTTTTAGCTCAACATGAAGTGTAAACAGCACATTTATTGGTTCTGTCTCCATTAATATCTCATAAGCATGAGTGATATCCAGTGTCCTTACCATGGATACGCATTAGTTCTGTCTTCAGGGTTAGTTTGTTCATTTTTGTTTGTTCTCTTTATTTATTTATTTTTGTCTCTTTGTGTTTATACTGGGGCCAGTCTGCAGGACAGTGATGTGATGTCTGCTTTACAATTATATAGAACGAAAGAGACAATTGCCACTTTTCCATCAGCTCTACTCTACTGTACTCTTCCCTACCCATCTGTAGCATCTGTACATCTTAGCAGCAGTACAGTGTATGTGTACTTCTGTACATTAGCAGCAGTATGTTTACATCTGTACATTAGCAGCATTAGGCAGTAAAGTAAAGTGACAGTGACATGTGGTTATTACACATTCTGATATAAGTTAAGGTTATTGCAATGATGAATGACATGACACGTGGGATCAAGTTGGCAGTGTTCATTAGTCCTTATTGCTTGTTGTACAGTCTGACAGCAGCAGGAAGGAAAGACCTACGGAACCTCTCCTTCATACAGCGAGGGTGAATTAGTCTGTCACTGAAACTGCTCTCAAGAGCAGCCAGAGTGTCCTGCAGGGGGTGACAGTCATGGTCCAGCATAGATGTTAGTTTGTCCAGGACCCTCCTGTCCTCCACCTGCTGCACTCTGTCCAGGGAACAGCGCAGGACTGAGCTGGACTTCCTGATGACCTTGTCCAGCTTCTTCCTGTCCCTCTCTGTGATACTGCTGCTCCAGCAGACCACACCGTACAAGATGGCTGATGCCACCACAGAGTCATGGAAGGTCTTTAGGAGTGTCCGTGTGTGGAAGAGGGGCGTTTGTGTTATGAGTCCTGTCCAGCTTGTGGTTCAGATGAACACCCAGTTACTTGTATGAGTCCATTATCTCAATGTCCCTTCCCTGGATTTTCACTGGGGCAGGTGCCATGACGTCTGCGGAAATCCACCACCATATCCTTGGTCTTCTCTGCGTTGATGAAGAGGTGGTTCCGCTGACACCAGTCCACAAAGTCCTGTATGACTCCTCTGTACTCTGCGTCATCGTCCTCGAAGCTGAGTCCGATGATGGCAGAGTCGTCAGAGAACTTCTGTAGGACACAACCGTCCTACAACCGTTGTGTCTAAAGTCCGCAGTGTAGAGGGTGAAGAGGAACGGTGCAAGGACTGTCCCCTGGGGGGCCCCCACACTGCAGGTCCCCTCTTTTACACTTTTTATCTGAAAAAGTATTATTATTATCTAAAGATGTGACAGAGCCCAAATAGTAGTTTGATGGATTGTGTTACATAGGTCCGGTATTTGTGCTTTGAACGATAGGTACCCTGGCATGAGTCAATTAACTGGTCTGTCAGGTTGATAATGGAAATAATTTTAAAAAATCTAAGTTGTAAGCCATTAGCTGTCAAGTTAGCCACAGGACGCGTCATCGGCCTGCGTCAGTAAAATGACGTATGCGGCAGTTCAACTCGACAAGAGGACTTTTGTCGATTATCTTATTACTGTACTTTTCCTTGTACCTCAGTGTTGTACCATTAGGTCCCTACTCAACACCACTGACTGATCACATTCCACATGTTTGTAGCTCTACAGGAAAAATTACCCACATGAATCTCATGCATTCTGCAATTAATTCAACAAGCTTTTCACTGCAGCAGCGACAGAGGGCTGTGTGAAACGCACAGATAACTTCACGCCTTGGAACTGTGAAAGTTGTTGAAAATGATCAATTTGTCTGAAGCCCCTGATGTGTCGGGGAGAAGAGAAAAAAGTCCCAGAAAAGGGCTCTACATAATAAAAGTTGTTGACATTTATAGCACCCAGAGGTTTTCCTGAAATGCACTTCATGAGATGTTTTGGGAATTGGAAGCTGCTTGTTGCGTATGTGATTGGGTTGGAGCAGGGCCTGAAAATAAAGCTGTTCCATAGTGATCCCAGTAGTGCCATGAATACTGTATGGCTGGAAAAAATAACAGCTTCTAGTCTGCCTTTTGAAAGCATTAATCATCTTCACCTGTGACACTTTTGGATCGCTATCACTGTCACTGATGTTGTGTTATGTGGAGTTTACAAAGATCTGTGTTCAAAGGTAGTGTTCGAAGGCAGTGAGTGCAGCATGCTCAGGAGTTTAGATCCACATATTAAAAAGCCCAGTTGTTTCCTGTTTGCTGCCGAAAAAGGTATATTTATGACCAAGATCCTCTTGTGGAACATTGAGAGGCTCAGTATTTTTCTGTCCATAATGTAATTTAGTGACTTATTTCTAAATGGGACTGTATGTCATATTTTGTTTGCTGAATTCAATTCAAAGTGTCGGCCTACATAACAATAGCAGTCGTTTTGGAGGACTTATAAAGTTGTGGATTCACAAACAACAGATCAGATAACCAAACCGGAACAAAGAGGATGACAACTTTCCAGAAATGTTATTGTCCTCCTGCGGCAAGGAACCACTCAGAAATCCAGGGCTGAGGCTTTAGATCCAGGACAGAGGCAAAATGATGTCTTATCTTCAAAGTTTACAAGTACTAATCTTATTGTTTCTCTGAGCAATTGCTTCAATTGGATTTTGAAACTACAATAGACATGTAGCTGGTTTTGTCATTTTTATGTATCACAAACAAACAAAAAAGCAAGAAAAGCAGTTACAAAGTGGTCATTCATAAAACACACTTTGTACAGTTTCTAGCTAAACTTCAGCAGGTGGATTGCATCAATAATGTGTAACAGGTCAGATTCTAGCAAAAACAGTATGATTGTCCCTGAAGCGCTGTGTAATCTCAATGTATGATTATTATTAATGGATCAAACCAAAGGTAGCTCAGAGTCCAGGAAAACCTCAGGAAAAGATTAATTAGAACTCACCCTTAGAGTCAACTATGTAAGGCTAATGATGGTCAACAGTGCTACAACCTGGGGCTACAAGGGGCGACAGTGGCTCAGTTGGTAGAGCTAGATGGATTCATTGACCTAGCAGGTTAGGGTTGTCCATCTATATACTGTTTACCTGCTGTTAAAAGAGACACCGGGAGAGAGGAGTCTTTTTATTGACAGCTTTAGACTCTGAGCAAGTGTCTGTCTGATCCCAGTCGCTCTTGCAAAAGTCTGGTTTCCACAGAGAAGGATTGTGTCTTATATAGACCTCCAACAATTATCAAACACGTCGTAGACACATGGTTTAATTACCAAATCTGATGCATGCAGACATATGATAGCATGAGGGACTGAACATATGGTTGTGGGTCTTTTAGTGTAACAGTAATGTAACTGTACTTTTGAATGTATCTAATGATCAAAAGCTCACAGTGGTGCTCATGATTTGAAGGGTGCCCTTCTCACCCCAGTTCTCATAAACCCCTGCTTCTCCCTCTCCAGGCTTGTTCCCTGCTGTACTGAACCTGGCCACCATGGCGGACATCAAGGCTAACGCAACATGCGGGTCAGAGGAGCCGGAGATGCACTGTAAACTGGTGGACCATGTCCCGGGCCAGCCAGTAAGGAACTCCCAGTGCCGCGTCTGCCATCTGCACAGCACCAAGCCAACAGGTAAGCAACGGCAAGGTTTCTATCATTTGGACTTTTTATACTGTCTGTATATTAATCCCGGTTTGGAAATATACAGACAGTGACAGACTTTACTGCATACAAATACAGAGTATGTTAAAAAACTGTCTCCTGTCTGTGTGCAGCCAGGCCTGAAATGGACTGGAAGTTCACACTCATCAGAGAGCTCAGGTTTACGTCTTGTTCAATCTAATTAAATTGATTCTGGTATTCACTAGAACTTTATAATCATGGATCTATTATAATATCTGGATAGGGTATTACTAGCTTATAGCTGGCCCACCCATGGCCACGGGGGGGCCAGCTATACATGCGCAAAGGATCATCGGAGCTCGTCCACTGCGCAGAACCAGGAGGACCAAAGGATTCCCAAATATGGTCCAGTTCCGATAATTCTTTCGGTGCCCACGGTGGTCCCGTGCGCTACTGAGCACAAGCCAGTTTTGAATTGGCCGCCATCTTGGATCACCGGGATCATTCGTAATCAACACGCCAAAAATGTATGAAGTAAAGTAAATCTATCATGACACACTAGAGCAGGCATGTCAAAGTCAAATACATCAGAGGGCCAAAAAAACAAATTTGCTGCGAGCCGAGGGCCGGACAGGTTCAATGTTTATTAACTCATTGCCTGCCAGCCCATTTCAGAACAGGTACTCCCATATTACCAGCAGTTTCTGATGATTTTTATAGATTTTTCAAGACCCACAGAATATTGTGTACTATGAAATCCGAAACCAGATTCTGAAAGAATAGACTGTACTTTCATCAGCAAAAATAATTTTGTTTCTAGCTTGTAATTCCCAGTTGAGTAGAGGGAAGTTTTACTGTAATCACCAAAAAGCTGAGAAAAGAGGCACAACAAGTGCATCTAGCTGTTTTTTAACCATTCAGAGAGCGCTGCTGCCACCTGCTGGCTGGATTCAATATACTCTCAAGCTTATCCCCATACATATTACATATAATAGACATCTGGGAACATGAAAATAGCGGAAAACGCAATTTACGTAATAGTGCGTCAATGGCAGGCAACGGGCCATGTAAAATTCATTCGCGGGCCGGATTTGGCCTGCGGGCCTTGACTTTGACACCTGTGCACTAGAGGGACAAAAAATGGGGAATATTTACCTTTGCTCTATTGAAGATAAGTTTTCTGATTTTCATCTCATGTAGTAATGAATTTATTAAAAGATATTTCTTCTGCTGTTGTACAACAAACAGTCTCTAATGTGACGGCTTAAAAAACATATAATAAACAAAAATATTGAACTAAACTTGGAAGAATAGGGCCTTTCTGAGTGTAGTTTGAATGTTCTCTGTGCGTCTGCATTGGTTTCCTCCTGACGCTCCGGTTTCCCCTACCACTAAAATTAACAATAGGTAAAATCCTGTAGTTCTAGCCCTGAAGAGGATGAACACCTAAGGGATGGATTACTATGGCGACCACTGCTCCTGACAGAGGCCCTGGTGCAGGACAAGTCAAATACAGACACATTATAATAATGTAATTTCGCTTAACAAAACATACAAAATAGTATTTAACCTGCACCCTTCACTTTCTCAGCGATAATTGCAGACTAAATGCATTGATTTCTTAGTCGTCTCTCTCTCTCTCTCTCTCTCTATCTCTCTCTGTTGCTGTGACTGATCACTTTCTCAATCCCGTTCATGAATCAAGCCTCTTTAGCTAATTACTGTTCATTGGTCGGATGTTTAACCAATCACTGTGTCAGAAACGATAATTGGGGATTGAGCCGGCCAATCAATCGCAACATGACACCGACTCAATAAAGACATCAGCTGAAAGTTATAAACCATGTAGTCTCTGAGAAGTAACCATTTAATCCCCCACTGAGACTTGGACCAAGGGGCTGAGACCGGAGACAGAGAACTGAGACCAGGACCTGAGACCAAGACCGAGACGAGACCGAGACTGAGATTGAGGCCTGAGACCAAGACTGAGACAAGAACCTGAGACGGGGACCGAGGCCTGAGACCAACTAATGAAGTCAACGTGAATCAGCTGTTTTGACCTCACCTGAGACCAAGGCCAAGACCCAAGACCAAGGCCAAGACCAGAGGCAAAGACCCAAGACCGGGGCCGAGACCTAGGCAGAGCCCGGGGCCGAGACCGGGACAGGGACCTGAGATCAGGATTGATACCTGAGACCGAGACCAAGACCTGAGACAGAGACCTGAGACCGAGACTGGGACCGAGACAGAGACCGAGAGCCAGAGACTGAGAGAGAGCCAGTGCTGAGTGACTGGGCCTAATGTTGCGTAACTAACTGAGTTTAATTAGGTAACTGATTCCATTTCTGACACCGTGATGGATTTGTCTTTCTATTTCCATACATTAAAGTGCTTGTGCTTCACTTGCCGACAGCTCGTCAGTGAATTCATTTCTAAATAAATGTAAATGACCTACAGTGGAAAAAAATAACAGGGGTATGAGAAAGTGAAAAATGTGATATAGGACGGTTTCATCTGCTCTTATCCCTGAAGGCAGAGTGGGTCTGAGGTCATGTGACACCACACACACACTCACCGGCTACTTAATTAGGTACACCTTGCTAGTACCGGGTTGGACCCCCTTTTTCCTTCCAAACTGTCTTAATCCTTCGTGGCGTAAATTCAACAATATACATAATGCACGTAACTGAACTGAATAAAGAAAGATCCTGTGAATCTGTAGAAATATGTTTTTATTTTTGTTTCTTGTCCTTTCTCGTGAACAGAACGACATCCCATTGAATTTGCCATCGATGGAACAAACCGCTGGTGGCAAAGTCCGTCCATAATGAATGGCGTGGAGTACCACTACGTGACCATCACCCTGGATCTGAAGCAGGTACCAACCAGCTGTCTGCTTCGACCACCGAACAAGAGACAAAAGAACTGTCTTCTTTCATTCAAGTAGTTGTGTTGAGTTTCAGCCAAACAACTGTTTGTAATGGTTTGTTTGGTCAATACAAAACAATACAATTTATTCTTGTATTCTTTATTCTTAATCACAATAGAAGTCATCTCAGAGGACTTAACAAAACCATTGAAATCACCAACACAGATCGGAGAATCAACAGTTAAGACACAGAAGTAATATAGAACACATGTTAAAAAAAAATTCCATACATGTTGTAGAATGTTAAAGTGTCCTGTATCATCACCAAATCATTTTTGTTGAACACTAACTGTCCAGCAAGCCTTCCTGCATTGGCAAGGACAAACTCACAAAAACCCAGTGGGAAAGGGATCCGCTCCACACGGACGGACGGGCTATAGATCCAGGACCTAAGCTACAGTCCGCTGAACCTGGACAGGTCCGGTGCAGGACTGAAGCAGTCCGCAGGTGTAGATGGAGGAGGCCAGGTTCAGAAGTCCCGTCATCGTACCATGAAACAGACAATAGGACAACGGGTGAATAGCAATGAACAAACTACGGTCAAAACCCTGATAATGCTAAACAGATAAAGCAGGAAAAAGGAAAGGATAGTGCTCAAGTTACCATACTTCTCCCAGCAAACTGAATCCCTACGCAGCTTGACTGACAGTCTAAGGCCAGGACACCACCGGGCGCGTCTCCGTTGACGTGCGTTGGCTGCTGCCCATCAGACGCCCGTAAAACGGAATAGTGGCCAAACCGGCTGCAGCAGCGCGGAGCTCTGGCTTTTAGCGTTTAACAGCACCCGTGAGGCTTTGTTTTAAATAGAAGAAGCGGTGTGTGATTTGCATGAGCTGTGGCTTTGATCTATGCAAAGAACGCCATATTGAAGCATCGCAGACGTCGCGATGGATGAGGCAAAACTTATTGACAGCAATTGGAAAAAGGGTAGAGAGAAAAGAGAAAAGAACTCCAACTTATCCAGTGTTGTGAGATATGTCTTTCATAAGTGCAGCTCTGTGGGCAATGTGTGTTTGTGTTTGTGTGTGTGTGGATGGGAGCGCGCAACGGTGAGGAGAGAGCGCCTTGGAGGTAGAGGGGACAGAGCGAGAGGAAAAAGAGCGAGGTGTATGTAAAGTTTAGCGTATTAACATTACGCAGAAAAATAAATGGTAGATTTACAATCAGGAAACAATTGTTTTAATTTAATATATGAAAAAATTACACACATTTGTTAATAATCATTGTCATTAACAAACACTTATAAACAGGACCACAGCATATATACATGTTTAATAATGTGGTAAACATATTATTCCATTGCATTTTCAATGGAAAGCGGACCCGACTGTTAGCTTAATAAACACACAGGTTTATGGAAACGATGTTTACTCCATCACAATAGCAGACAAGTGAATACAGTCTCGTGTGAGCATCAACATGAACACCCAAACATCGCGATACTATCACCGCTCCTCATTTGTGCACATAGAAACATAGCTTAACAATCTCCCCTTTTTTTCTTTTAAAAAGTGCAGTACCAATGTAGAACATAACATACAACAAATGTATCACATTAAATGTATTTGTTCAGTTTTTTAGCTGGCAGACACCTTCACCAAGTGCCTTAAGAAGACTCAGTGCAGATGCCCCCTTCTTTGTCAAGCAATTGGCCAGCTGCTCTTTGGTGTCTGACCATAGGATCTGCTGAATAGTCCCAGAGTGTAGAAGTTCTTTTATACTGCTAATCTCAAGACGCAGTCTCTTCTCAGTGACAGATTTTGTTGATTTGACAGCATCCAGAAGAGAATGATTGTCTGTGACGCACACAATGGTAACAACTTTGGATTCACAGTATAGTGTAGTAAGGAAAACTGCACTATCAATCCCATCTGCAAATGCCAGAGTTTCTCCCGCTAATGTACTCCGGACAACTCTCCTGATCCGTTTGGACTGCCAGGAGATAGGGGAGAACTTTCCGTTTTCACCCATTAACATTATGAAATGCCCACCCTGTGTGCCTCCATCTGAGAGGTTTCCCAAGGAGGAATCACTGTATACCACTAGTTTCAGTGAACTGTTTTCTCCTAGGTGCTGAAACCTCAACATGACATTTTCTGATTTTACTTTTCTCACAAGTTTATTCGCACAGTGCAGAGTTTGAACTGTGGCATGCTTAGTCTCAGAAGCCAAGATTGATGCGTCACACATAATGTCTGGCCTACTCTGTCTTGCTACCCACAATATTTGTCCAATCTTTGACTTCAACATGTCCATTTCATTTTCTGTCAATGCAGCTTCTCGCTGTGATGCTCTGGTGGGATCAATGGCAATAGGTTTCAGATTTTGAATGTATGCTTTCTGTTGCACTTGTATCTTGTCCTTTACAGAATGAACTTCCATTCCAATGTAGCTGAAGTTGGTGTGCTCTTCACGTCCAACTTGAAAGGCAGTTTTTAGCTGAGGGATGACAGATGAGGAGAAAAAATTGGTTCCGCCCCAAATAAAGTCATCTACGTGAGACGCGAGGATTCCCTTTACCTGGCCACACCGATCAAGCCAGTAAAATACAGCTGGGTCTACCTTGGACACTCGGGCTCCCAACTGCTGCATGGTGTCTCTATACCAATACAAAGAAGCATCTGTGAGACCATAAACACACTTCTTCAACTTCCATACATTTCCTTTGCTCTGTGCTTCATGTGGTGGGCGGATGAAAATGTCCCTCTCCAATGTTTTACCTTGCCTAATGTCTATAGAGTTAAGCTCCCATTTGTTTTGACTTACAACAGCCATAATCATTTTCAGTGATTCAGTAGCATACGTGGGTGAGTCTTTCTGTAGGCTTTGACTGTTCAGCTCTTCAAAGCCCCTTGCTACTAGCCTCGCTTTAGGTACAACCCCTGCAGCAGTGTCTTTAAGTGTGCACACCCACCTTGTTGAGACACATTTCTGACCTTCACTTTTAACTTCTTCAAAGACATCATTTTTTCTCCAGTTTGCAAGTTCTGCATGTTTGGCTGCCATGAAGACATCGTCCTGTACAATAAATGCATCGTCACCATTTTTGTCAGTACACTCAACCTCTGACGAAATCACTTGAACATTGTTTATTATGCCAAGATTTACTGACTGTGATGTGCCAGCTCTGTCCTCAGGCTGACTGAACTGCAGATTATACCAATCTTTGTGTTTTCCAGTTGCCTTTCCTGCTCGGCCAAGGACTTTTCCAGTGCAACTTTGACCACTTTCATTGTCAATGTATTTAACCTCTTGGCCAATTTTCAGCTTTATGTTTTCACAGGAGGAGCTGGCTTGTGACTGCTCATCACTGCCCATTGCACCAGATAGTTCATTAATCTCAACATTAGATGGGCCAATGTCTGCTTGTGTTGTGTCCTCATAGTCACTTTCTGCATCATAAAGATTTGCTGCTGGTGGTGCTGTCGGTGTCTCGATTGTTGTCATTTTACGTTCTGTTTCAGTCATTTTAGTTTGTGTCTCAGTCACCTTTCTAAGTCTAGATTGATGCACCCTGACATAGGAGCCCCCATGTCTCACAAATACAACAGCCCCATCTTGACCTAGTACCACCCCTGGACCTTTCCACTCATTGAAATCAACCCTTTTATAGTAGACTTTGTCTCCTGTGACATACTTGTCATCAACTGGTCGTAGTTGTTTCCGAAGGGCTCTTCTGAGTCTCTCAGAGCATTCTGCCTCTGTAAACGCCTTTCTCATTGCATGTAGTGTTGTCATGTGTTGAGCTATCCAGGTGTTAATGCTTGTTTCAAGGGCTGGGGGTTTGTCAGTGAGCACCGAGGGAAGGTTTGGATTTTGTCCAAACACCAGTTGATAGGGGCTATACCCATGTACATTGTGCATGGAGTTCTTGGCCATCAGTGCCCAGTCTAACGCTGTATGCCAGTCACAATTGTTGTCTTTTTTAACTTTCAGAAGCATTTCAGTGAGCGTTTGGTTATGCCTTTCCAGAAGCCCATTGCTCCATGGGCTATACGCTGCAGTGGTTTTGATCTCAATGTTGAATTTTTCAGCCATGTCCTTGATAATCTCGTTATTGAATTCACCTCCATTGTCACTAAATAGCCGGCTTGGAGGACCATGAACACTGATCCAACAGTGAATGAACTGCTTTACAATCTCTTTGGGGTTCTTTGTTGTGACAATACTCCCAGCACTGAAGCGGGTGAAGTGGTCTATGACATGTAAATACCACACGTTGTGGTCAAGCTCATGTAAGTCGACAGCCACAGTTTCATTATAAGTTGTGGCCATTGGCAAACCAACTATTGGCTTGTTTTTTGGCTTGCTGTACCTTGTACATGTTTCACAAATTTGGACAATTCTCTTGAGAATATCTATACTTTCTTTGTCCTGAGTGCCTGCGCAGGTGAGAAGCTTCTGCAACCTTTCAGCGGAGGCGTGTCCAAAATGCCTGTGTAGTTTCAAAAGAATTTTTTCCTTTTCTTTTGTGCTCATGTCCTCTTTAACAATGAGTACCTCTTCTTCATTTTGAGTTTCCTCTTTACTCTTATCTCTCAAGTTCACACAATAATGTCCAGAAGATGTCAGCTCAAGTTTAACTGGCTGTTTAAACATGGTGGCTTTGTCACATGCAATGTCTAATATTGCACTGGCCCTTTTTAGTGATGCCTTGCTCAATAGCATGGGAATGTTTGCAGGAACAACTTCTGTTTCTATTTTGCATTTAGTCTGACCAATTTTTGCAGGTAGTGTAACTCTTCTTGTAGAATGAACCACTTTGCCATCGCCAAATCTAAATGGTCTTGTACTTGTTTCTCCAACTATTTTTTGTAACTCACATTGTGGTAGTCCTCTTGTATAATCTTCAAGCCATTTCTCACCACACACTGTTCTTGTACAAGCTGTGTCAATCACTGCTGACCCTAAAGCCTCCACCATGAAGATGTCTGTGTCTGAAAGAGTCT